GGCCGATCCAGTCCTACTTCTCTGCGGGTACATTTACTCGGAAAGGCCGCCAAAGATACAGAGCGGAATGCAGAGCTGAATAAGGACAGAGATAGGGCCGGCCTGATGATATTAATGGCGGCATAACTGCTGCCACAAAGAACAGAACATACAGTGCATACTCTAGACTCTGAGGTCCAAATCATCCGGTCCCGATGCGTCTCTACTGTACTATAACCCCCCAAACCTTGTTCTGCCTTTCTAGCCACAGTTAGTAAGAGTGAGGAGCATAAGATGACAGCCGCGGAGTTGGGGTTTTGGCACTTCCATGGGGCTTAAGATTTAGGGTTTAGGGATGTTTAGGGTTTAGGGTTTAGGGATGTTTAGGCTTTAGGGATGTTTAGACCTAAACCTTAAACCCTGGACCCTAAACCGTTTAGGGATGTTTAGGGTTCAACCTGCCTGCCGCCTCTGCGTCGTACCGTTCTGGTCCGCCTCCTTCTCCTTGCAGCTCCGAAGGCAGGGGAAACCAAGAGGCTTCGGAACTAATGTAGGGCCCTAACTGGGCTCCTTTAGAGGGTTTAGGATTTAGGGTTTAGGGTTTAGGCTTTAGGCTTCGGAACTAATGTAGGGCCCTAACTGGGCTCCTTTAGAGGGTTTAGGATTTAGGGTTTAGGGTTTAGGCTTTAGGCTTGGGAACTAATGTAATTAGAATGGGCTCCTTGAAAGGGCTGTTCTAAAGGTTTACTATGAGGCTTAATAATTAGGATAGGGTTTTGGGGCCCATTATACTACAATTAGAATAAGGAACCCCCGAAATAGTATTGGTAACTATTTAGGCCCCTACATTACCTTGTCACCGGCCCAGTGATGCCTGAGTGGAAATTCAGTTGCCCAAAGTAAGGATCAGAACATCAAGCTTCCGGGTGCACTGCTTACCAACTTGAGCAGCCCCTAAACCCTAAACCCTAAACCCTAAACCCTAAACCCTAAACCCTAAGCCCGCCATAGGAACTATCACGGGTTCAAAGACTCTGCTCCGGCGAAGACATCTGAAATCCCCCTTTTAGGGTTTAGGGTTTAGGGTTTAGGGTTTAGGGTTTAGGGTTTAGGGTTTAGGGTTTAGGGTTTATGTAAACCCGAAACTCTAAACACAACTGGTTGGTGTTGCCAACTAGTCAGTAGGCACTTTCGGACCCTTGCCAGACCTCGGAAATCTGAAAAAAAAAACTACATAAGCCGTATAGAGACCTTGTAATGACCCATAGTGACCCCACAAAATAGATACAAAAAAACGCTCAGACGGAAAGCTCATCGAACCCAAAACCCTAAACCCCAAACCAACAACCCGCAGAGCTTTCCTGCCGACGCTGAGAGGTGCCATTCTGCGAGCTCTCCTTGCCAGTCGGCTCTTTCGATTCTTTGGCCCCTGCAAGCAGCGACAAATAATGTAGGGACCTTAATAATTAGACCAGGGTTTTGGGACCTAGTATACTATAATTGCAATGGAGGAACCCCCAAAATAGTATAGGTAACCCCTAAACCCCAAACCCTAAACCCTAAACTCAACTATTTAAGCCCCTTTTTTTTATGGGGCTTTGGAAGACTTGAGGCTTCCGGGTCGACAGTTTAGGGTTTAGGGCGTTGGATTTTTTTGTCGGACGTCGGGCCTTCTCGTGTGCAGGGTTTAGGGTTTTAGGGTTTAGGGTTTTAGGGTTTAGGGTGCAGGGTTTAGGGTTTTAAGGTTTAGGTTTTTGGGTTTTGGGTTTGGGTTTTTAGGGTTTTTTGGTGGTTTTTTGGTTTTGGGGTTTTGGGGTTTTTAGGGGTTTAGGGGTCTAGTCTAGGGTTTTTGCCACCCAGAGCTGACCAAAGAGTCGCATCTGGCGCATTCTGAGCTTTGGGTTTGGGATGGGTGCAGTTTCAGGCTTTGCTCGGTTCGTCTGGGCTTTCTTGGCGCACTGTTGGAGCTAACAAGAAAGCTGCACAGCCCTGCATCCCTGCTTCCCGAACCCCACAGTACACAGGTAAGCCCTAACATGAACACCCCGAAAATCAGAAACCCTGAAGAAGGTGTAGGGATGCCCCAAATGGGGTTTCCGAACATAGGGGACCCTAATATAGTACCCCAAATAATAGGATCCTTATTATAAGGACCCCAAAATAAGGTGGTGACGGCGCCCCTAGGGTGCCGAGACTGCTTTTTGCAGCTTCCAAAGGGTTTTGGACATGTTATGAGGGCGGGGGGGTGGGGGGGTGGGGGGGTGGGACCGCATTTTATCACTCCGCTCTGGCGGGATTTCCGGCGTGCTCCCACTGCTGCCAGTTTTGCTTGCAGCATCTCTGCCTAAACCATGCCGGGCTTCGAGAGCATGCGCTCTCTCCTCTGTGCATTTTTTCGACCGTGGGTCATCCCATACCATGTCATATCATCTCTCGTCACACATTTTTGTTCGAACACTCTGGTTGCAGTCTCGGTTGCATCTCGTATCATCTCATACCGTGACCGTGTCATATCATCTCTCATAACACATTGCTTTCGAACTCTCTGGTTGCAGACACAACAACTTTGTGGCTCAACACACCCCGCTCCGCCACAAACGCAACTTTGTGGCTCAATACACTCCGGTCCGCCACAAACGCAACTTTCCTACAGTTGTGTGCCTCCAACACAAACTTTTCCCTGACGCGCTCCAAAAAATGTGTCTCAACATGTGGGAAAATATCGACAACCGTAGAAAAGTACACACAGTCTCGGAGATTCTCACACTCTTCGTCTGACCTTTGTAAACCGTTCGCACGTTTCACCACACATTTAAGCACATTACAAAAAAAACTCTTTTCACATATCCCACAAAACACACGGCGCCCTACAAAAGCCGCTACCAATAAGGTACGCCCCATGTTCGGAAACTCCCAAATGTCACAAAATCATCCTGAATTCACCCAGACCCAAGCTCCACCTCGGCCTACGTTCGGCATCGCTGCGCGGGGCGAGCCCTTAGGCGACTGCCTGGAGGCCTCCAAACCGCTGCAGGAGTCTTAGAGCGTTTAGGATTAGGGTTTAGGGCGTAGGGCTTGGGGCATTTAGGGCTTCTGCAGGCTTTGCGCCGCCAGGTTTCGGATTTGAGTGCTTCAGGGTTTCTTGGTGCCTTAGCCTAGAGTCCTTCAACCTAAACCCGAAGCCGCTCTATAACCCCCATACCGAATTCTGTAAACTCCTGCAAGTCACTGCAAAAACGCCAAGCCGAGCCTCGTCAAAACCCCTGTACAACCCAAAGCAGCCCCAACCTAAACCCTAAACCCCTGAACCCTAAGCCCCGAAACCCTAAACCCTAAACCCCTGCACCCCCTAAAAACCCGAGCTAAACCGGGCCTCCCCAGCAGTGCTTCGAGCACCCAAAAGCATCCGCCGCAGCGTTGGAAAGTCGTGGTACGTCTCCTAAGAAGGGCTTAGGGTTCTGGGTTTAGGGCTTTGGGTTTAGGGTTTACAGGTTCAGGGTTTAGCGTTTGGAGTTTTTAAGGCTTTGGGGTTCGGGTGTTAGGATTGGTAGGGGTCTTACTGGTTTTAAGCAGATCCTTAGTATAACTATACCGTAAGAGCCTCCAAAACCCCTGTTCCGACCGTTCACTTGACTTGAAGTCGGGGTTTTTTGGGTTCAGGGTTTGCGGTCTAGCCGCACACCAAGACCCTCCTTGTACCCTCAAATAGGGGTAGAAGTTCTCACATAATGGGTATTTACGGTCTAACAGAGGGGACATGGAGGGCTCTAGGCAAGGTTTAGGGTTTAGGGTTTAGGGTTTAGGGTTTAGGGTTTAGGGTTTAGGGTTTAGGGTTTAGGGTTTAGGGTTTATGGTTTAAGGGGATCAGGGTTTCAGGGTGTAGGGTATAGGGTTCCTCCAGTTGAGGTCCATCAGACTTATCCCGCGCGCCAGTCGTCCCAACTCCACCGTCAGGCGCTGATGTACGTTTTCGGCTAAGCCCTGCGGCCTCCGCCCCAGTACACCGGCATCTCCCGTCAGGTGCGGGAGCCCTCTAAACTCACCGAGGTTTAAGGGCCGCTGCCTCTGGTTGGGGTGTAGAGTTTAGTAGGGTTCAGGGCTTAAGGGTTTAATTGGGGGCTTTGGGCCTGCACTCTGAAACTTTCGAGATAACGTTCTGCCGGGTGTCCCAAGCCACCGTCCACATGCTTCCTGGGCTGGACACAAGGAGGGCCTTGGGGTCTAGGGACCTTTGGATCTGGGCCTTGGGGTCTAGGACCTGTGGATCTGGGGTTTAGGGTTTAGCGGTTTAGGGTTTCGGGTTGAGGGTTTAGGGTTTTGGGGTTGAGGGTTGAGGGTTGAGGGTCTGGGACCTTTGGATCTAAGGTTTAGGGTTTAGGGGTTTAGGGTCTAGGACTTTTGGATAGAGGGTCAAAGAGCGTGTGGGGTTTCTGGAATTAAGCGTCGGATAGAATAAGTTATACTGGTTAACGTAACGATGCTCAGGAGCCTAAACTCCAGGATAAACGAGCTTTGGGGTAAAACCGGGTCTCAACATCTCTTGCTTCTGGGGACTGCCTTGAGTATCGCCGCAGGAGCCTCTGTCGTTCAAGGACTACGGAATCGAAACTGAGCGCCCTGCCTGATGCACACTCGAAAGGCACGGAACCATCATGATGCAACTCAATCTTACTTCCCAATGCTTTGGCTCCTTTTCTGCTAGCTGCTTGCTGACCAGTGCGCATAACGACAGTCTCTGCAGTCTCTACAGTCTGAATTCACCGGAATGTCAAAGGACGAAGCAACGGCTTGCAAAGACCTAGAGGCCTAGATTAAACACCGAAGGGAAAACTACCTCGAGGCTGCAAGCGGCAAGTACACGAAGTGGGCTCCTGGGCGTGCGGGATTCTTGACTCGGGTCGCTCGTGCTTCAACTCTGTTGTGGTGCGGTCTCCCAAGGCTGAGAGAGAGACAGCTGCAAGGATGCACGCCCTACTGCTGCTTCAAGCGAAATGCACAAAGGGATGATGGTCATGACCAACCTAAAATCTCTGACCTGCAAAAGACTAATCTGAAGCAACCGGCTTAGAGAACTTAAGGGGAAAGTCAATCTGCCAGGTACCCGATGTACAAGCTAACCTAATGGGCTCACGAGAGATTACACCCTTATTAAGTCCATCACAGAGCATATCGCGAGTGTCACACCACGCTAAACTGTTGACTTCGTGCTTCAACAGTTGACGCAAGGCAAGTAAATGCAGCAACGCTGCACTGTCTGTGCAACGAGCCTCCTCTGAGGTGGCTCCCAAAAACACTGCCATTGCATCAATCACCAAGGTTAGCTGTAACGCGTTGTTCATCTGTTCTTGCTTCTTGATCAGTTCTGCCGCAGATTGGCATCCCTGAAGAACCTCGGTGATTCCACTGTTGATTGTGATCGCGAGACCACACAAGTCGACTGCGCTGAGTAACTCAGCCGTGTAAGTGCTTCGGCATACGCGGGTCTGCTTCCGGCAAACGAATTCTAAGATCTGAAGCGAGTTGGTGCCTTGACTGGGACCTTCTCTGTCGGTAAGTGCAATTATGCCCGACCTCATCGCAAGATGATCCTGTCCTTCACCCTTGAAACTACTATCGCTTATTGCAACAAGCTTCCACGGATGGTCCAACTTCTTATACCTAAGGCATAAAGGCTTCAGCTTCAGATACTTCAGTACACGATTCAAATTTGCAAGGTCTTGCACTCGGGGGTTCTTTAAACGGCGCTGCAGAGCTGCCACATATACGGAGATGTCGGGTCTAGTTTGAGTACACCATGCTACTCCACCTAACAGAGACATATACTTTTGGGCCAACTCAGGTCCTACAAGGTCATCTGCAGACGAAGCCTTGAGTGATGCCTCTGCAATTGGACGAAGTTCGGAAACGTAGTGCTCTTGAGACACTGTCCTGCTTCCGTCAGACTCCAACTTGTGTTTCAAACCCAAATGTTCAAAGTTGTCAGTTTCAAGCTTAAGAGCGTCGAACTCTTCCTCAAGCACTTTTACTGTACGCGCAATTTCACTAGGCAATCCCGTGATCTTTAGATCATCTACATGAACCGAAAGAAGTAGTATCAAGCGGCCATTTGCATGAAGAACATAGAGCTGGGGATCAACGTTTGTTGCGCGCAAGCCAACTTTCTTTAGAACACGCTTCAGTGCGAGGTTCCACAATCTTGGAGCATCTTTCAATCCAAATCCGGGCTTTAGCAGGTGTAGTACTTCGGTTTCTGGATCGAAGCTTTCAAGGCCTGGGACCGATCGAATGAGTTCCAAGGAACCCGGTGGCAGCAGTAGCTGCACTTCACGCAATTCCTTGTCCACACCTGACTGGTGTAGTTCCTCAAAGGAAAGTCCGCGCAGAAATGCTTCTGACACGTCAGCAGACTTAAGAGGCCATCCTTGCTGCACAGCTACAGCCATCAATAGTCTCTGACCCCAGCGGGAGGTCGTTGAAGCATAACTCTCTACGCTTTGTGTGTCCCTAAACCCTTGAACAACCAGTCTAGCCTTTACGTCGCGCTCTCCTTGGATATTCTTCCACTTGAGAACCCACTTGCTCTGGAGAGCATTACGTGCCGAGGCCTTGGATCCTCGACGCCACGCCTTGTGTCCATTCCACCGAAGCAACTCCTTCACCATTGCACGCCTACAACGATCGACATTCTCCAGAGCCTCTTGACGAGTCAAGATGTTGTTGGCTCTTTCGATTACGGCCTCTACTTCACCTGTCATGTTCAAGACAAGAGTTTCGTTCGAAGCCAGCTGTCTGTCAAACGTTGCTAAGTACTGCGCTGCCTGCTTAGAAAACTCCAGCTTCAAAGGCTCCTCCTTTAATTCTTTCGGCTCGAACACAAGAGAGGGCTCAGCAGCTGAGTCCACGCAGACTTCTGGAGGCTTGTTGGTGAAAGCAAAGAGATCAGCACCATCATCGGCCTCATCATCCGATTGAGTGCTGTCTGTGCGTCGCTCTGATGATTCAGTGACTGCGTCCGGCGTCCCTATGTCGAAGATCTCAGGACCAGTCTGGTCCATGCCAGCTTGATCAGTAATAGCCCGAACCTGTCGCCTGCGAACAACCGCCTCGTTCACCTCAGCCAAACGCGGCAAAGCGGGATCGTGGATTCCGCCAACGTTCGGTATCTCGTGCACAACTTGTCGCAGGCTCAACACGGTTTCGGAGTCTTCACTGAAAAACTGTAGGAAACAAAGGCTATTGGTCTCAACATCGGTGAGTCGTGAAAAGTTAATTGGCTGTGTTCCAGGAAGAAACATGTGATGCCAAACGGCCCCACGACCTCTTTCCCACCAAATGATCATCGATTCATCGCATCGAACGCCCGACAAGGTACTCAGGCCGTTTCCAAGCCGAAACGACACAACTCCTGAAAACTGAAGATTGCAGGCCGCTAGGTGTAGCCCTGCAACTAAGACATCAGGAAACTTTGAGTTTTCGACAAAGCTACGCCATATACCCTGCTGCTTAAACCATCCCAACCTAACCACCTGCCTGTCCAAAGCTTCGGCAGTGATCCGGATGAGTCCAGATGGCGTATTGTGCGGCTCGTCTGAAAGAAAAGTCGTAAACATGAGTGCTCTGCGAATGTCTTGCACCCGGCACAAAATGTAACGACCCTGAAATCTTATTCCTATCTGGCCTTGGTCTAATTGCAACAAATCAACAACCGTAGCCGGACCCGCCCACCCCGAGAGATCTTTGTTGGAAGGAACCCTGTAGAACTCAACCTGATCTCCCGCGGAAAGCTCAAGAAGCTCGCCACTTGGACGGCTCTTGGACTTCAGGGCCCGCTGCGCCTTACTTTCAGCTGTTGCCTGCAGGATTGCACGCAATGCTTTTCCCCTCAGACGATCGGCGTCTCTCGCGGCGACTTCCTCGCCGAACTCCGGAGATAGCAAATCGTAAAGTGGAGGTGTGCGTCCCAGCACTGCTTCGTAAGGCGTAAAGTTGTTGATGCGAAGGAGAGCATTCTTTGCAAACACCGCCTCCGCAAGGACGGCAGAGAACGGCACTCGGAGACCGTCCTCGTTGCTTTGCTCAAGCAATAAGTGGACTTGTCTGCGCAACAAAGCATTGTGTCGTTCAACCACAGATGCATGTGCGTATTTGGCCTTTGGCACGTATTTGATATCACGATGTGACATCCATGCACCGCCAGCAACTCCACTTAAAGCTCCTTCCTGATCGGCTACAATCACACTTGGAGGCCCGAACAGCGATATCCAGGCTTCTTGGAGTGCAGTCAGTATGTCGTCGGTCTCCCGACTCGGCACGATCTTCGCAACTACAAAGCGTGTCGCCACGTCAATCATGTGCAGAATCACATGTTCACGAATGAACAGCAGGTCCACTTGGAGTTCTGCATTGAATGCCGTAGGAAGATGCGAACTCGCTACCGACTTAGGCCCAGGTCGGGCCCATGTGCGACATACGGTGCAGGTATCAGTAACCTGCGCAACCTTTTCCAAGACTTCCGCAGGGACACCTGCAGCAGACAGAAGTCCTCGAAGACGCTGCATCGATGGATGATAAAACCGCACGTGTAGCTGCCTTAGAGCTCGCCTAACTACCGCTTCTCTGCAGCTCCGAAGCTGTTGCAAAGTACGGCCTATGTCAAAGCGTGCCCATTGGGCATCATCGCCCTCGGCAGCAGGTGGCCCATCACCTCCATCGGCAACAGGAACACCATCTGGAGCCGGCGCGGCCGGCGGGTCATCCGCCGTATCCACTCCAATCGACTCACGTGAAGGTCTAGCAGCAGCTGGAACAGCAGGCTGCTCTGCGACGCGGTCTGCATCACGCTCAAGCTCTCGGTTTGGCTCCGGTCCCCTTGAAGAACTCGACACATCACGTCGATCCCTACCGTAAGGGCCATAGCCTCCGTCTGTTACCTGTGCTGACGCATCCCGCCTACGCAAACCTGTGCTACTACTCCTGGCTCCGGTCGCTGCTACTCGAGACTGTGCTGTTGGCTCACTCGCAGCAGGAACGCGAGGATCACGCGGTCTACTACCCTTGCGCTCTCGTTGCAAACCTTCTTCTACTGTCCTAGCCGCTTGCCATTGACAATCGGCTTCAAGAGTATGGCTCACATGCGTTCTTGGTTTACCGGCTTTGCAACCCGGACAATCCCAAACCTTGGGTTCTACATTTGGAAACTTACAGTCCCCTACCCTGAGATGCGTAGGATCGTCTTTGCGTTTGTGCCATTTGCAACCAGGACATTCAAACTTCGAAGTGTCATCTGAAGGAAAAGAACTCTGGGTCATTCCATTGGCTTCAAACTCGGATTCCCAGAACAAGTGGCACAAGTCGGCTACTGCAGCCGTGAAGTGCCCACAACGTCCTACTGTCCAAAACCGGGTTGCGCTGGAGCGTTCGCCAATACAGCTATTGAGCGATGCAGCTGACGACAGCAGCACCGCAGCATCACATTCACTTACAAAATACCTTTTCGGCCAAGCATTCCAAATTGATGTATCCAGCAAAGCACTGCCTAAGGGTTGCTCGATTCCCCAATGTGCCCCATAACGTGTTTGCCACGCTGCTGCATTCACACTAAATGCAACAACAGAATCAGATGCCTTGCCGGGACACAGAAGGATCACACCGGGCTTTGCGTCACACATCAAGTGAAATGCACAATCACTTTGCAGCTTGTCCTGAGGATTGAATTGCATGACGAAGTCGAAGGGCCTATGTTGTGTACTTGTCATTCCTCTAAATGCTAAATACATACAATCTTCGGCTCCACCAAACAATTCAATCATAGAAACTGCTGAATGCTTCAAAGGACCGCTCAAGATTTCATAAGCTTGATCAGTGGAACAAATCCCATTCTTGCATAATTCCCGCAAAGGTTTGCTTGCTAGGGAACCGTGAATGCAAAGACCGGGTCTGCAGGCTGCATCGTACATAAGATCCAAACGACTTGATGTTGCTCGTGAAAAATTCTCTTCTACACTACTTCCCAGCAGCCTCGCATTCCAAGCCACGCAGTCTGTCACTGGAAGGATTGCAGCAAGATCCTCACCGCAGTCTTGATTGATTTGTTCAACATTCTGCAATCGCTTCTTAGGGGCACGGTCTGCTTCTTTCTCACTCTTAAGACGGGCTTTCTGCTTGAGAGCTTGCTCCGTAGGAAAGAAAGCTGAATCACTATCGGCAACCACACGATGCTTATCCACTCTAGGTAAAGGGAACCCCAAGCTTTGCAACATTTGTTGTTGAGTAGAGGTGATCTCCGGTAAGGCTCGGTTGGTGTAGAGTGACAATGTGTACCGATTACCATTCCAAGGCAGTGTACTATGTACTCGCTCCGGCTCAAAATGAATGCATCGATGTTTGCACGAAAGGATTCGACCAGGCATCTTCTCATTGCGATCGGAAAGCATCCAGTCTACATGCTTCTGAATATCGACTTCGTTATCATACAACTGCAACCACAACTGTCCACCACTATAATCACCCAAACCTATGAGATTGTTAAGGGTTCCCCGAAGGTTACCAAAGTCCCAATGTGGCTGAAGAGCAATGTTGTGATTCACGGAAATGGAGGTCCAACCTCCAACAGCATTGTGCTCGGCTGCAAAGTTGTTGAGGAAACGACATGTTTCGGGGATTTCCAAAGACAGTTGGGTGACGCCAACCTCAGCACCATGCTTGAACAAGCCAAGCACTCGACATGTTCCGCCTTGATTGCTGCTGTCTACCGCCTGTCGACGAGTCGTGTGGCCGACAGATGGCATTAGGTTTAGAACCCGGAGACAAGTCTTAAAAGAGTAGTCCAAGTCTAACCTAGCCCTCCTAGAGTGGTCTTCTATCATCTGTATCATTGCAGCTCGGCGAACCATGTATGAATCTACATGCGGGGCTGCGCTCAACTCAGCGAGGAGCGCACTGACATTGGGTCCTGTTGATGTGATGCAAGGGCTTTCAGACTTTACAGTTGCGTGAGGATCACGTCCACGATTCGAAACATGATCCAATGACCCAGCCTTCTCAGCTTTGAGTCCACCGTCACGGTGATCGTGGTGCAACAAAGAAGATCCTGCAAAAGGGCTCAAGGATTTCAAATTCACGCCTACGGCTGTGCAGGGGGATGTGCCTGTCGGCTGTGGGTCGAATGTTGACGAAACTGCTGGATTTAATGACTCGGGTCGCCCGTGCGTGCGGTCATGAACAAGCGCATAGCTTGCTCCCTGTGGCCCTGCACCAGACAAGGCCACCTGTACAATCGACCTAAGCACTTGCTCATTTCGGCCATGACGCTCATTTTGGGAGAGCTGCTTCGAATGAATGTGCAAAGTTCCTGAAGGGCATTCGCAATTGTAGGGTCCGGGCAGGTCTACATTAGTGGCAATACGAATCACAGTGTCACATGCTTGCGCTCGCACATTCATACGGCGCTCATGCCAACACCACGCATGATCGTACACATGCAATCGCTCTGCAAGTTCCTGCACGAACCTAAGGGACCAAACCATGCTACGAGCATTCGCTTCTAAAACCACTAAACCACCCTTATCTATTTGTCTTAAAGCGATCTGCGAAAGATGAAGGGCTCGTTGGTTGTCGTGGCGATTGCCTGTGCCTGCTGCGGGTCCTCCAAGCCGGATCCATAAAATCCGGGGCGAATGCACTTCAAGCATATTCAGAATTCTCCGAAGCTGTTCTTTCGAATGAAGGTCACGACTAAAATGTATGCTATGTAAACCCAATGACGATAAAATGTTCTGCCTAACACCCACCTGATCACACATCACCCATGCACTCGGCTGACCAGCTGGGGCATGCATCGGAGTTGACTCGCCTCTCGAGGCTAGTCACAGGTCTCCGCTCGTTCCGGCATCCTGGGCAGCATCATTGCTTGAGCTGACGTTTGCAGCTCGCGTTGGAACCTGATTCGCATTGTGCTTGGAACTCGCCTCCTTAGCCTGAACACGCGATGAAATGAAGTCCAGCTTGCGAGTGTCGGAAGCTTTAGAGCGAGGATGCACCGGGAGGATCAAATGTCCACTTGGGCTAAGCTCCAAATCCAATGCCAAAGTACCCGGGCTTTGCACAATCTCCAATCCGCCGGGCCCGGGAATGTACAGCTTTTGATGCTGCATGTCCAACACGGCATTGCAACTGCGCAAAGACTTCAAACCAAGCAAAGGTGGCAAGTCGCTATCGGGCACAACAGGTGAGTTGAAAGTACCATCTATGTTGGATTTACCCTGCGCGCGAATGCTAAACTCAACTCCGTGGCTGAGGTCTGCTTGCTGCGATCCGTTGCCAACTCCTTGCACACTCAGCGGCCTCTCGAGGGGCTTAATAGCAGGCTTGCACTTGACCTGCGTTGACAACAGCTTCATCGTGCGATCACCGACCAAGTTGTCATGTGCACCAGGGTCAACAAGCAAGCCCACCTTCCCTCGCACTCGCGTGCGCTCATGATAAATGCCTGTGGGCTGTCCGCCCCCTTCACCGGATCCAACATCTACGCTCCCGGTCTCCCACCACGGATACAGCATTGTCTGCAATTGCAATGTGGTCTTGCGTCGCTCTTGTTCAAGCTGCTGATTGTCCGGGGGATGATAGCTCGGAGGAGGATACTTAGGAGCCGGTGCTCCAGGGATCAACGAACGCACTTGGGGAGCCTCCGATGTGGCAACCTGGCTCGCACTGTCATCGGGATGAATCTGCAAAGTCGGACCTCGGCTCGACGATGGAGCCTCCCCTGGGGCCCACTCGGGTGGACCCTGCACACGATCCTCAACAGGAGCTCGACTGCTCGAGCGACCGGCTGATCTGCGACTACTCAATGCCGATGCTTGTGACAAAGCTTCAAGCTCTTGCTCGAGTCCCGTGCGCACGCTACTCTGGCTCGCAGCTGACATGAAATGCGCAGAGAAAGTGACTCCCGGAAGAGAACGCACCTCGGCTGCATCTGTACTTCGAGCTGTGCTCCACATTGGAAGTGCTGGCGAGGGAACGGTATGCAAAGCCAGGGAGGGGGTTTGTTGCGGTTGTGCAAAGTGCGAACCACCCTGAGTCACCATCGGACACTGACGCCAAAGGTGCTGGTCACTGTTGCATTTGTGGCACCTAAGAACCTCACCATTACGGCCCCTAGGATTACCCTTTCTACCGCCTGCACCCTTGGAACCGCCTTTGCCTTTGCCCTTGCCTCCTGCGAAACTTGACGCTGGAAGAAAAGCAGCGTAGGTCCTGTTGTAGGGTGTCTTAAGCTTACCAAAGTTCTTAGGCTTAAACCCAAACTTACGGAATCTACGTGGGGGTCTACCTGTGAATCTACGCCAGCGGCGCTTGGCTTGACGGTACAAATGGTAAAGCTCGGCTGCAATGGATGCTTGATCGGACCTGTGCTCACCTTCTACAGTAACAGCTGCAAACGACTGAGCCTCCGTGTCCATCTCACCGTCATCGGTGCTTGTGGCTGAGCTCAGGTCCTCATCCTCATGGTAAGTACCACACTGCATGCACTGCGAGGAGTTCTCACCTACAGGGTTAT